CTCAAAGCCCCATGCTTGAACCACACACCCAAAAACAATGCATGCCTTGCGCAGGCTTCTTCAGGGTCAGCTGGCCACAGGTTTGCATTGCAAGAGTCAGGGAAGCCTTTTGCAAAGGCCACCAGCTTGCTGATATCTGCCTTTATTGCAGGCTGGGGGATGGGCAGCGTTGCTTCTCCTGACATCTATACCTAGCTTGCTTAAAGCCAAACAGCTGCAACATATCAAATATCTTGTTTCCAAGAAGCGCTTCTGGGAAGCCACAAAAAGTGGCTTCCCAGAAGCGCTTCTTGGAGGTGGTAACATGAGTTTGGGCAGAAGCCACATTTAGAAGTAGAATCTACTTTTCATGGCTGCCAGCCAGTTTTGAGAAGATAAGATTTGTGGCTGCCAGCCATGAATCCTAGCTGCCAGCCACAAATCTTATCTTCCAGCATTGGCTTCTAGGGGGCCAGAACCTTGGAAAGTGGCTGGCAGCCATGAAAAGTAGATTCTCGGATCCTTAGGGTATGATTTCAACATCATTCTGGGCAGCGATGTGCTGTTTGTCACTGGGGTCAATCAAGAAGAACACCCAGTGCTCAACATGACTTGCATTGGCACGCTCTACAGCACCTTTGCCATGATCCACCCGACCAGGAGATCATCGGACCTTTGCTGGAGCACCTTCCTTCGCTGCTGGATTCGAACGTTTGGCAGTCCAAGTTTCGTGATCCTGGACCAAGGACTTGAATTTCAAGGCAAGTTCATTGAAGGCCTTGAGGAGCTTGGCATCCAGCCGATCCTGATCGACCAAGGATCACCACACCAGAACGGTGTGACAGAACGCCGTGGAGCATTGTTCAAGGACGTCTACTACAAGACTAAAGAGCTCCGGCAGCCAAGCGATGTGACTGAAGTCCAGGACATGATCTATGAAGTTTCTTGGGCTCTGCAGACGATGACTAACCGCAGTGGCTATTCGCCAGCTCAGCGAGTCTTTGGGCGACAACCTTCCGTCGCCATGGAGCTCACCAATGACAGTGGCATGTATGACAAGCCCCAATCGCCCACTGCAGACCAGGCCTGGCAACGAGGCGAAGAGATCAGACAGGCCGCCAGAAAAGCCTTGGTTGAGCTGGACTCCAAGGAGAAGCTGCAGAGAGCCTTGAGATCACGCCCACGTCGAGCCCGAGAAGATTTGAAGTTCACTGAGGGTGATCCTGTTTGGGTTTGGCGCCAAGGACGCCGTGGCACACATGCCAAAATTGGCCCCTGCTTCGTGGTGCTTCAACGTGGAGAGACAGTCTGGGTCACCAGACGAGGAGAGCTTTGGAAGTGTGGCAAACTACAAGTCTTCCCCATGGGCAACCTTGAAAAGCAAGGGCTGGAGGCAATTCCAATGGAACTTCTTCGTGCAAAAGAGCGCCTCCGATTCCATTCTGAGAAGATGCCCTTTGTGGATGTCGAAGGAGAAGGACCTCCGCCTGAAGAACCTCATGAAGCTCCAACACAAGAAGTCCTTCGACGAGTACCTGCCACACCAAGAGTGCCTGCCACACCACGGGCACCTGCAACTCCGCGTGCACCGGTCTCTCAAGGACCCCCTGAAGGATCCAAAGTTTTGAATCCTTCAACTCCTGGAGGAGCAACGTACTGGCTTGAAGACACCCCGAATCACACCTGTACCAGCTACGCCTTCAACGGAACCAAAGCAGCATGTGAGAAAGGAGACTTTGAGATCAAGATCACCCGCACCAAGGACACCAGCTGCTCAGGTCATTGAGATTGAGGATGACACAACCAAAGAGAAGGGCAACTCTACCACCGGGACAAGAACACCGCTCTCGACATCGAGACCGGAAACTGCAAATACACCTGGTGGAGATCAGGCTTCATCTAAAGGAATGCCTTCACAGCCTGCCACTTCACCTTTGGCATCCTCGGCTGAAGCAGCTGGACCATCTCAGCGACTTCGAGATGGCGATGAAATTTGGCGTGCAACCATTGAGAATGCCAAGTCGACCAGCTCATCTTCAGCTGCGCCTGCGGCCGCGGAACCACCACCTGATGAAGACCTACGGCAATGGAACCGAGTTGACCTTGAAGCAAAGAGGTTCCGTGGGAGCAACTCCAAAGGCCCGCTTTGGGGCGATGTGGTGCGCCGCGTGACGCTGGACTTGGACAAGGGCAATGTCGTGTCAGATGAGGTGATCACACCTGAACTCCGTGTTCACCACGCACATCGAAAGCTTCCCACAGGAGTCAGGAACGTCGAGACCACGCTCATCTACAAGAAAGTGCCAGACCATCCTGATCCTGGCAAGCCTCTGTTGACCGTCCCTGAGGACAAACCTGTTGAACCACTTCCTCAACCTGATCTTCCACAAGAAGATGCCCGCGTGATCGATGTTGGCCTCAAGAGAAGCCTTGAAGGGGATCCTCCTGACAACCGCATTGCCAGTCGCACCAAGCTGTTTGGAGTATGGCGAGCTGATGATGTAACTGAGTGGGGCGACAAGAGGCGATTTCCTGTCATTGCTGGAAGCCGTGATGTCCGGCAGTTTTCCAAGCTCGAGAAAACCGACCTCTACTACGGCCTCTTGGAACCTGAGACCTCCCTCAGCTACCTCACTAAGCAGTCTGGAAAAGAGTTGGATGAACGCCGCATTCCTGCGGTGGAGCGAGCCATGTTTGATCAAGCCAAGACCCTCGAGATTGGCAACTTGGTTGGCTCCAACGCCATTGAGGTCATCACGGACCCTGTTGAGTTGGCCCGGATCCGAAAAGACTTTCCTCACCGCATCATGCCCTCCAGGTTCATCATCACCAAGAAAGCTGGAGAACTTGGAGAAGATTGGAAAGCCAAAGCACGATGGATCCTTCTTGGCCACAAAGATCCTGATGCACTTACAACAGGAGCGTTTTGCACCAACTCCTTTCACCAAAACGGTGATGCTTTGTTTGCAGGTCATGCTTCCATGAAGTTCCACCTCTACATCATGGACGTCTCCTCAGCCTTTGGCCAGAGTGATCCACATGAAAGGGAACAAGGCCCTTTGTTTGCCTCTATATATGCCTCCGACCGGAATTCCTGGTCATGCACCTGACTGCCTCATTCGGGTGCTGACAGCTGTATATGGTTTGGTGACCGCACCAACTGTTTGGAGGAAGACTGTCCGCGTGTCTTCGACCCCTGCTTCTACTACCTCAAGCCCGACGATGCAGAGCTGGCGGCTGGGTCAAAGCTTCAAGTGGCTGGAGTCGTTTTGCTTGATGTGGATGACTTTTGTCAAGGAGGAGGAGACAGGCATCAACACCTCATGAGCCAGCTGCGCACGAGGCTGAAGTTTGGCAAGTGGCGCAATGTATTCCAAGATTCTGCCGAGTACATTGGCAGGACCCTCAAGCAGCTGGAAACCTATGAGATTCAGGTGAGCATGCAGCGCTACATCATGGAGAAGCTCAAGCCGGTGGTCTTGCCCAAGGAGCGCTTGAAAGAGAAGACCTCCCTGCTGACAGAGCAAGAGATTGGCTGGCTTCGTGGAGTTGGAGGATCACTCCTCTGGGTCGGCAAAGAGGGCCGCCCTGACGTTGGCGCTGCCTGTGCCATGGCTATGTCATGGAGCTCCCAAGGCCCGACGGTCGAGCACATCTTGGCCGCGAACAAGACCGTGAATGAGCTGAAGGGAACTGCTGATGCTTTCCTGCGGGTCATGCCGATCCCGCCGGATGAAGCGATCTGGCTCTCGATCGCTGATGCAAGCCTGGCCAACCTCGAGAACAAGAGCCAAGGCGGATTCCGTTTGGCCCTGGTGCATCAAAGCATCCTGGATGGAGCATCGGCCACCTTCTCCATCAACTCATGGAAGTCCCACAAGCTCAAACGAGTGGTCAAGGCCACATTGGGGAGTGAGGCATCATGGCCATGGACGACGCCCTTGCGGAGGTTGAATGGCTGAGAGCGCTTTGGAATGAAGTGCTCAACCCTGCCAGCAATGTCATGGACGGCGCCCGCCTTGGAGACCAAGAATCTGCTCTGGTGGTTCGCTTGCCGGAGGAGGAAGATGAGCAGGTTCGGTCGATCCGAGTGATCGATGGAGGCACTGGCGCACATGTCACCGACGCCAAAGCCTTGTTCGACCTCCTTTCGAGGAGGAGTGGCAACGCTGGGCACGACAGAAGGGCCCAGGTGGACGTGGCGGTGATCTTCGTCAGTGCGCGAGCCCTGAAGGTCAAGACCTTTTGGGTGCCTGGAAGTGAGATGTTGGCAGATCCTCTCACGAAGAGGTTAGGGAATTCCTCGCTTTTGAGGAGGGTGATGGCCTCCGCGAGGTTTGCACTGGCCCGTCAGGCAGGTCCAGCATGACATCTCCCAAACATGAATGTCCCCCCTGAAGGATGTCAAACAACATGGACTGGACTCATGTTTGGACCTGAACCTGCTGTGCCGGTGTCTCGGCCCGATCACCCCGAGGGCCCTTGAGCCTGTCCTTTTGAGGAAAAGGTAGCTTGGCGTTGCGGCATTTCATTTAGTAAGGGCCCTCTGAAGGGCCCATATGAAAGTTAAACGGGGCCCTTACCCATACACTGTTTTTATTCATTTTTGTTACTTTTCTGCGCCAAGGATTTGTAGGCCTTGGCATGGTCAATGCAGATACTCTTCAAGTGGATCCAGGGACCGGTTGTATTTGTTGGTTTCCACATGATATTTTGTGGTCTTGACACTTGAGAAGGTTACAGTAAGTATCAGTAAGTCATTATACATCAGCTTAATAATTCGATTTGATGAATTGATTCTTGCTCTTTGCTCAGGCATGTTCAGACAATTTAGGTCGTAGCGACTTGTTGCACACGCTATGGCATAACACTGAGAAACTGTCAAGTCAATGCCTAGAAGTGATCAAGTTGCGGTTGACGTTGAAGCAAGTCGTGAGGCTGACTAGTATAATATAGTGTCTAGCATTTACATTGGTTACTTGAGTAGCTACTGGTCGAACATGGTCGAACATTGGCCACAGGCCACCATGCCCTTCTTGGGTCAAAGCTCTGGACTGATGATCTGCTCCAAAAAGCCCATCTTCTCAGAACGACATCGTATTTTCACGGAGCGAAGGACAGTTACAGCCAAAGGGTGGTTGGAAGTAGAGGCCAGTCGCCGAAGTGGAAAGCAACTGTAGTAGCTTTCAACACCACTGTGAGTATATGCAGCTTTAAGTTTAAACTTTTGAGTCTTGCTTCCCGCGAAATTGGCAGGTGCAGTTGTCTTCCATGGATTTGGTGATTCTCACCACGCACATGGAGCACGCACAGACTCCTAAGTGGCGGCGAGTGCGTGAACAGCAGTGGCGCGAAGTTGTTGACCGAGTTAAGGACGGATCCAGTTCTGCAGCCCAGTTTTCGGAACAGTGGCGCTCATGAATAGCCCTTTGCACCTTCATATGAATAGCAATGTGCATGCTAAATTCTTTAGAAGTGGTCATACTGTAGATGAGAAATTATAATCTTGGTTGTTATGAGATCATATTTGATCAAGAAAGCCTCAGCCAGGCACTCTTTCAGTTGTGCCCACCAGGAACTGCTTCTTGAAAAGGACTCTGTCATCGTGGTGGGGGACTTCAATGTTTGCGGACAAGAGCTGGGCATAGCGACGTGGCTAAATCACGGCCAAAATGGGTAAGATGGTATGCCTGCCTTCAAAATGAGCAACATTCAAAAGGGTCCTTTGCTGCGATATAGGGAAACACCAAAGACGATACCCTGACAAGGTACCTTCGATCATTTGATTCAAATCTTATTGTTGCTTTTGTTGCTTTACATAAAGCAATGCCTACAAATGAATGATCAAAATGCAAAATGCGATGTAGATGAAGGGAGCTCCTATCAATATACAAAGCGATTGTGGAGGATGGTTGGTATAAATAATCTCTAGAAAAAGTGCTGTGTCACAGAATACTTACTCCCTCTCCGTCACTTTTTTGATTTCAAGAGAAAGTGTGCAAACGATATGGAGAACAACCAAAAGCGATGCCATTATATGGAGTTCTGCTCTTGTGCCCATAGGTTTTGGCGCTCGCTCAATTGATGTGAAATAGAGGACTCAACAAAGATAATTAATCCGCCCCAGGGTATATATTCCCATTTGGAATTTGACCTGGAACAATTTTGTAGTGTGTAAACCTATCAAGGCTTTTCGGCATGTCATGTCTAACTATATATATATACATATGCAAGTAAATAGTAATGTATTGTTTCCGTTCCCTTGTTCTCATGACGCACCCCGCAGCAAGGCACTGGACGGAGGCTCCGAATACAAGAGCATGGTTGCCAGCTTCGCCCAATGTGGACTGGCAGAAGTGCCTTTGACTTCGACACTACGAGCCAATGAGGCAGACATTTCAAGAGATTGATTGGAATTTGGCCAGATGCCAACAGTCCAAAATGAGTACTAGTAGTGATCTTCAGCAATTAAATTATGTGGTTTCTGTCAGTGTAGAACCTAAAGTAGTAGAGGAAGATGCACTGCATCAGCATTTCTTTTGTTGCGGACGTACTTGGTTCGCATACCATCAGAGCTGCTGAATGTTTAGGTCCATTGAATAGATCAAACTACCCCATCGAACAAGCTCTCACAGAAGTGCTGAGTAGTGATTGTCATTCATCAGTTTTGGTTGTGCCCAGCCCTGGTTGGCAGTTCCTTTTGGGGCAAATAGATGCCAAAGCTTCCGAGTTTTACAAATGGAGTCAAGATGAGTTCAATCGAGCATTTGGTCAACACAATGGACATGTGGCCTTGAGGCCTCGCTTCAATCTGCGCCAGATCACGTGTTCGTGACAAGCAGTTTGAAGGAACGGCTGATGCACTGGGAGGTTTTGGACACGCGTGGAAGGAACCCAGAGATTGAAGTCTCCGACCACCTTGCACTCTTTGCCAAACTGAACATTGAAGGATCGAGACCTGAGACACGATGAAGCGGTGAAGGTCTGTTGTGAAGGTCTGTGACACGAAAGATTGAAGTCTCCTGCGCTTTGGGTGGTCAGCAACACGGAAACATCTTCTGAATGTACTGCTATGCAGATACTATTACTATGGTCACTACGGCCATGCGCGTCGCAGCTGTTTGCATTTTTGAAAACTCGTGGCCATGCGCATGGTCACTCGAGGGTCAATCCCCTTTCCCGATCACAGGCCTCAAGGAGCAAGAAATGATTTGGCCATAGAGTCCATAGAGGGCATCTCTTGTGTCCTCAATGCCTGGTACTCCCTCAAGGAGGGACGCCGGTGAAGTGGACCTGTCATGATCCCTGGACAGATCTTTGGAGTTGCTGCTCATGGGTGTTCGGACGACTCACTTCACCGACTTGGCTTAAATTCAGGAAGATGTTGCCATACTTTCGAACCATCCACCGACCAATGCTGCTCACCCATGCTGTTTGATATGTGTCTCGTCTAGAGAGTGGCGGTCCTGACAGTGAGACAGTATCAGAGCGGTACTGTATTGGCTGTATTGCACTTGTGGTGCTTGGGCACAAAAGCAATCAGAGAGGAGGAAAAGTTTGACAGTTGGGCTTTGTCAGAACTCATCTAGGAAATATGGTTGAGGCATACTGTTAATCATTTCATGAAGGACACAGATCACTTTGTTGACTTTGATCATTGATGAGCTTTGCAGTTTCATCAAGGGAGATTGGAAGATAATGCACTTGTGAATTTCGAGGTCGCCGCCGCCCACCTTTCGAAAAGTCAAGGCAGAGGCACGCTTGTCGCCAAAACGTGTTTTGACTCCTCCAGCTAGTGCCAGACAAATGCCGTCTTTGATGAGGGAGTCTGGTGACACCAGGCCCATGACATTACAATCAGATGTAGTAAAATGATTGCAAAGTTTCTCCACATGTTATGGACTCATCACGATGTTGAAGATGCATTGCCATTCAATCCTGGCTGTGTGAGGCGTGAGATCTCTACCCTGAACTTTGAAAAGTTTCGTCAATTCCGATGTTCCTTGGCTACCTTGTTCAAATCCGATTCGCAAATGAATGAGAGCATATGTACTGTGTGAGCTACAGTGATTGCTGGTAACTAGATGGGCCAATCCAAATTGACAGACTGTGCTGGCATGATAGGTGACTCAAGAACCTGAAGGAGTAGCAGAGGTGGAAGCCAGTCTTGCTGAGGTCTGCTATTGCACTACTGCTTGCATGGATCGATTGGGCTGATATAGCTTGACTTACATTGAGATTATGAGAGTCCCTGTTTGTTGAATGCAAAGATGTGGCAAATGTGTGTAAATGTGCCCGCGCAGGAAGATCTGCCGAAATCCCCCAAAATGCTCACATCTACAGCTGCTACCCCTGAAAAGCCGCAGGAGGTGCACTTAGCCTGTTGAATCATTCAGTCACAGGATTTCTGTTGCTGCACAATCATTTATCCTCTTGAGTCTATATATATATATTTGTTCGCCATTCAAGATTTTGAGATGACTATCTTGATCCATCTAATCTTGCTATGGCCTAGCAGGAGCTTGAGCAAACCAGCAAAGAAGCCGTGTCACAGCCGCATAGAAGTCTGCTTTGAGCGGCTTTGGTGCTCTACTACACTCGCTGTTCCGTGAATTGATTGCTCCTGGAACATCTAAGTCTACGGTCAGCGGCGTTGGGCTGGGCCCACTTGCTTTGTTGAACAAGGGAGGCGCGGCGCGATTGCCAGGTGTAGAACTTGTATCTACCTTAGCGTCATTGTTGTATCTGTGTTATCAAAGTTGCCTTTGCTGCTTTTCTGATGTGCAGATTGTTACGCCTAACCGCTAAGTGTACACAGTATATTTGATATCAGAGATGGACACATGCCAAGACCGAAACAAGATTCACCTGCGGAGTGTTACAATGCATGTTTTGAAGGGATGTTTGGCGTGCAATTTTTTTTATGCTTGGCGGAATCTGGCAGGCCAAACTATGGTTGCAAGACGTGGCAAAGCGCGGCTTTGGGAGGCGACATGTGTGATTCTGATGACTACAGCTGTCAAAGGCAGAGAATTGCATGTCCCCCTTTTTTGCTGCTTCGAGGTCAACCGACAGGTTTCACACGAAACCGCATCGTCGCAGCGCCCGCATGATTCAATGATGGCAGCTCCGCTGTATTGAGTTAGGAGGTGACCGTGGTGTACGGTAGGAATTTAGGAGTTCGCTAATTGAAATCATGGTCAACATTCACTGGCTTCACTTCGTTCAAGTCTGCAGAAACCTGGCCAAGTGAGTCACAGTTGGGCAGCCAAGGCAATTCTGATATCGATTAGTGCTAGAATGTGCCAGTC